TATGTCTATGCAGGGAGAGGATCAAGAGGAAAAAAGACATCAGGAACACGGAAAAGGGGAGCAGCGTTACCAGGTTGAGGAATAACTTGGTAGAAGCATGTTGATTTTTATTTACTCTGCAACTCCAAGTTAAGTTTGTTTTCCGTTTTGCCTTCACACAACGCCTGAAATCAGCATTCAAATTCTCCGTGGCCGGAAGGCTGATAAACACAGAGAGAACCAAGCACCCCAGCAGAATCCAGAAAATCTCCCTGTCAATTCTCCACTTCATCCAGAGGAAAACTGGGTGAAAGAAATTAGCTATCTTGAAGAAATAGTAAATGCTGAGGCAGGTTGCAAACCAGATATTTAAATGGTTAGTTAGGGTCCAGAAGAAGTCGATGATTCTCATTTGTTTACCGGTGGCATAGACATCTGGATACAGCACCAGTGTAGAACAATCTAATAGTATTATGCACAATAGACAAATTCTGGAAATGGCCAGACTTGTGAGGATTAAATCAATGGAGGCAATCTTCCTCTTCTTAACCCAGTCCACGCAGTTTACCAATCCAATGAATGCATTCCCTAAGATCCCAACTGAAAACTCTCCAACTGCTAAGATCAGTAAGGCAGTCTGCAATTTATCTGTCATGTTTAAATAGAGAAATAGGCAATTAGTTTCTAGTTGACCTGATGGAGTTTGACATCTACACCTGCTTCTTAGATTTTGACGTAACTTTCTTTTTCTCTTCTTTGTAGTCTGTCTTGTAATGGAGACTGGGACGATAAATGAAGACTGGAGCTATCTTCATTAAATCCTAATTTAAATAAATAGTCTTGACAAACAATGTGGTTGGCGATCCTTGGCCTGGCACCGTATGCCCATTTACCTACTCAGCAGGTTGTATTTTTCCACATATGGTGAATTTAGGCTGAGCTACTGTTTACTAAGATGCAAACTGGGCCAGTTCCCTTTCGTAGTCCTGCAAGGTCTTTCTGAGGCTAAGGCGTATGCATTCTGAATTCATTAATTTGTGATGTATACTAGTAACCTCAATAGAGTTGCTAGATTTAGCAACTAAAAAGTCAGGGCACCCAGTTAAACTTGAATTACAGGTAAACAAATGAATCATTTTTTAGCATATGTGACAAATTACATAAGATCAGTGCTTTCAGGAAGTACTGAAGTTCAACTTTGGTTGAGTGTTCCATATTTTGTCTGGCGAACCTAAACATCAAGAATTTGGTAGCAAGTATAATGTTGGCAAAAATTGAAATTACTGGAAGAATATTTGTTTTGTTGTATGTTACTACTGATAATTAATGAAGAATCCAAAATTTGGCTTGAGAGTGAGAATTATATATTTTCAGGAAATTAAAAAAGTTAACACTAAATGTAGATTATTTCTTTCCAAGGAAACTTTAGCTTATTATTTTGGTTGTGCAATGAACAATTTTATGGCATAGTGTCTCTTAATGCAACACATTGTCTTATTGACAAAGTGACATTTAATGGTTACTTAGTGATGTTATATAATAAGGTAGGGGACCTATAATAAAACAAGACAATTATCTTTAAATTTTCATTTTCACTTAAAATGTTCTCAAGGAAACTTTGGGATGTATTAGATACCTCTGTAACTTTGTGGTGATATCATGGGTGTTTGAGTATGTCCAGTCTCTCCAAATTGTATGCATTAAATATATGAAGTCATTTTTATATCAATTATACTTTCATGAAGATTTTTTAAAAACTGTAAAAATGTTCTCAAGGATAGTTGTATGCATGAGAGAGAAGATAGTAAAATTCTGTATTTCATTCTCTCCATTCTCCTATTTACAAATTGCATGAGTATCAAGATCCTTAGCTCTTCTAGCAGGATACTGAAGATTAAACTTTCCACTTCTCCACAGATGAATTCTTACTTTGAAATATCTCCCTAGTTACTGAGAAGCACTTTACTACATGGTGTTTCCAGAAGAGTTCTTGGGTACTGGCACCTTCCTGGGAATGTGTGTCTCCTCTTATCCTTCCTTAAAAGGCAAACCTTCATTCTGGAGATGTAGCCTTCGTTTTTGGACAAACAGCATGATTAAGTAGCTATGTTTACAGGAAACTGGTACATCACCTGTGATAGAACAATCTTGGAAACGATAACCGACCTAGACTCATCGTTTTCCCCACAGTGTATCCTGGTAAATGAAGTACTCACAGAAGCTCTGATGACATCTTTGCCCAAATAATCTTTAGACCTTTTTTTGTTTGGTTTTGAAAGTAAATGTAGATTTTATGCATACCAGTGTTGTATAGCATGAAGTTATGTGAATATAGAGTTAAGAAAAAAAGTTCCACAGGAGAGTGTTCTGTCAAAAGTCTACTACTTAGAGCTCTAGACACTGCGGTCACTGAAGATGCTTGAAATGTTGGAGATGCAGCAAACAAAATATGGAGGAAAAATCTTAAGACGAATAGGATAAAACCTTCCCAAAAGTGCTAATTCAATAAAATATTTATTTCATCTAAACATTTAGAAAAATATAAAGTTCATCCTAGTGTAAAATCCACAGGTATTTTTTTAGAATATATTAATATATTTCATCAAAAGAACATGAATTCTTCCATCTTGTACAACAAAGAGTAACATAAACAGCTAGCATATTAGAAATATAGTTCACAAAGTTTACATGCTTAGAGTTGTAAGTATTAGTACTTTACAAAGTGAATTTTACATAATAATAAGACAAACAACTGATAATGTTCAGGTAATTAGTATTTTAGTTATAATAAAAGGAAATTAGTCGATTGAAATACATCAAAATTAAATATAGAAAATAATGGGAGTAAAAGCAAGAGTGCAGCCATATTAGAACATACACAACCTGAGACGCCACAGAGCAAACGTTTCAATATTATAGTGAGACTCAATTTCATCTTCACAGCAAAATTAAACATTTTTGGTGACACGCTTTCTTCTTTTTGAATAAAAGATTACTCTGTATTTTTTGTAAACATTTATTGCTTCTTCCACTGACATTTATTGCTTCTTCCACTGACAGTATGTGCTTCTTAAATGGTATATGTTAATGTCTTCCCAATTTATTTCTTTTGTTAAGTCCTGAGTGAAATTTGCAGGCTCTGGTTAGAGGAAAGAACCTGAGTGAGCAGTATGACAGATATTTGTTATCTCCATTCCTTTTTTAAGATTGTGAAGAGGGCTTAGGAACACCCCTTAAGTGAGTGGAACTTGAATGGGTTCGATTCCCACCCAGGTGTGGCATGAAAAGCAAGTTGTTTGAGAGGAAATTTAATTTCAAGGAAAATAAATAGAAAGCATCAGAAAAAGTTCAACCAGGGAATATTACCTAGGAGATCATGGATCAGGAAAACCAAAGACAGACCAGGAAGATCTGAGTTCTTAGTCAATAATCCAAATGGGAGTGACTCAGCAGAGCCAGGAAAGGAGCACAACTAAGGACCAGCAATAAAAATGTATGGCAGAGGCTGGGCAAGGTGGCTCATGCCGGCAATCCCAGCACTTTGGGAGACCGAGGCGGGAAGACCACAAGGTCAGGAGTTCAAGACCAGCCTGACCAACATGGTGAAACCCCGTCTCTACCAAAAATACAAAAGTTAGCTGGGCGTGATGGCATGCACCTGTACTCCCAGCTACTCAGGAGGCTGAGGCAGGAGAATCTCTTGAACTGGGGAGGCAGAGGTTGCAGTGAGCTGAGACCACACCATTGCACTCCAGCCTGGGAGACAGAGCGAGACTTTGTCTCAAAAAAAATAAGTATGACAAAGGAAAATGAGAAACCAGGAAACCAGTTAGTGTAGCCCAGGTTCACTTTACCATGAGCCAAAGTAAAGTCTGAAAAGACTTTAGGCAATGCATGCCTAACATTTGCATTGAGGAGACAAGAAGAGAAACATGAACTCTGAAATTCTTCATGGAAAGGGAGTGTAAAGATGAGCATTTCTGGTTGTAAAGAGACATAACAGATTAGTTTGCCACTAGGTCCTAATAACACTTAAAAAGATATGCATCCAAAATAAATGAGATAATGGGGAAAGTGAGAATGGACTTTTAAGAAAATTACTTCAAACGTGGGCAAAGGATATGAACACACTTTACAAAAGAAGACATACATGAGGCCAACAAACATATGAAAAGATGCTCATCATCACTGGTCGTTAGAGAAATGCAAATCAAAACTACATTGAGATACCATCTCATGCCAGTTGGAATGGGATCATTAAAAAATCTGGAGAAAACAGATGCTGAAGAGGATGTAGAGAAATAGGAACACTTTTATACTGCTGGTGGGAGTGTAAATTAGTTCAACCACTATGGAAGACAGTGTGGAGATTCCTCAAGGACCTAGAAATAGAAATTCCATTTGACCCAGCAATCCCATTACTGGGTGTATATCCAGAGGATTATAAATCGTTCTACTATAAGGACACATGCACATGAATGTTCATTGCAGCACTGTTTACAATAGCAAAGACCTGGAATCAACCCAAATGCCCAGTGACGATAGACTGGTCTGGGAAAATGTGGCACATATACACCATGGAATATTATGCAGCTATCAGAAACGATGAATTCATGTCCTTTGTAGGGACATGGATGAACCTGGAGACCATAATTCTCAGCAAACTGACACGAGAACAGAAAATGAAATACCTCATGTTCTCACTCATAGGTGGGTGTTGAACAACGAGAACACATAGACACAGGGAGGGGAGCACTACACACTGGGGTCTGTTGGGGGGAATAGGGGAGGGGACACCAGGGAGTGGGGAGTTGGGGAGAGATAGCATGGGGAGAAATGCCAGATATAGGTGAAGGGGAGGAAGGCAACAAATCACACTGCCACGTGTTTACCTATGCAACTATCTTGCATGTCCTTCACATGTACCCCAAAACCTAAAATGCAATTAAAGAAAAAAAGAAAATTGTATTTTTATTAGAGAAGAAGATTTGATTTTAAATTCCATTTATAAAACTAAGATTTCATATCATGCAGGCAATTTTTCTACAAGTCAGCATTTTGACAGATGCCTGCCTCAGTTTCTTATTGAAAATAATTAAAATAAGTGAGTGACCCAAGGGATAGAGAATTGCTATGATCTCTCCAAACACCATAGCTAATTTATATTTTGTAATAAGATAGCTAAAGGTCACCCAAAGAGAAATAATATAGTACAGGAAAAAAAAGAAGATAAATGAAGTCATAGTTTTAATGGCTCTCACATGAGCCTCTGTGCTGGGGTCTCTACAGCTGGTAGCATGGAGTTTTATTTGCTTGGTGTGTCTCCATAAAGATCTTACTAAAAGGATAAAAGATATCAGTGACACAATAAATGGGACAATTGCAAACAGGTTAAAGAGAGTCAAGGGTTTGAAGGATGGCATTTTACTCACATGGAACATTTCAGTAATATTTCTTTTATGCTTTGCAGTTGCATGAAACTTATAATCACAACTCAGCACGATTGGTACTATAAGACCGACCAACGAGGAAATGGCAAAGCATCCCAGCAGGATCCAGCGAGCCACCGTGTCAGTTTTCCACTTTAGCCAGAGAAAAAGTGGGTGAGAGAAATTAGCTATCTTGAGACAGTAAAAGACATTGAGGCAGGTGGTAAACCACATATTTAAGTAGTTGGCAAATGTCCAGAAGGTACAAATGACTATCTTTAGCTTCCTCTTTGTGTAAACATCTGGGTAAAGTACTATTAAAATGACATTTAGAACCATTACGCTGATCAAACAAATTCTGGAGAGAACTAAATTGGTGATGATGCAGTCAATTGTGGAGATCTTTTTCTTCTTAATCCAATCAACCCAGTTGACTAGTCCAATGAATCCATTCCCCAATACTCCTATTATGAATTCTCCAGTTATTAGGATTATAGAGATGCTATCTGCAGCACTGGACATGTTTGTAGAGATAACAATCTGATCTCAAATATCACTGTAGATGAGCTAATTTACAGGTGACCTATTGACGCATGATTAGTAAATTCTTGAATGATGCAATAATGTTTTCATCTGCTATTATTTTGACGTTGATATCATTCTAGAAGTGTTCGGCTCTCCTCTGAAATAGTATTGTCTCTACGTTCCCGAAGATGAAACCAACTAATTGCTCCAAATGAACAGCTTGACTAGTTATTTATAGGCTGGAAAAACTATAATTATTACCTTTTAGTGAATGAAATCTGAGACGTTTGGCTGAAATTTCTCTCATGCAAAATCAAAGAGATTTTATATCACAAATTTGCACCAAGCGTCTTGCTGCAGCTCTATATTTGGACCCATCAAATTGAGTTTTGAATAAGGAGTCACCAAAGAGATACATGTTTAATAAAAATCCAGTTGTGTAAGTAAAACTTCACTTTCATCATGTAAGTTATAAATGACCCACAAATCAGGTCTCCCAGATGGAAACAAATTTTCACTTCGGAAAGATAATTAGTACAATTAGAGTGTAGACAGCTAACATTTAATCAGAGGATAATAATTCTTTTCTTCATTTAAATGGCCAATTAGGGAAGGATATGATACAAATCTAATTATAAATGACATTTTTTAAGGCAGGAACATGGCAATATTTACTAAGTATTTGCTTTTTTGTTCAATTGTTTCTTAGAAGTGAAATATGCCAGATGAAGATTTGTTGTCTTTATTTTTTTTAATGTGAGAAATACCCTTGAGGACAATCCACTTCCTGAAAACTTGTCTCTTGTATAATAAGCATTTTAATCTAAAATTAAAAAAATTTAAACTTCACATTATTCTAGTTCTAATAAAATCCTTTTATAAGATTGGTGATCTCACAGTGCATGTTATTGCATTTTTTCTAGATTGGGAAAACATGTAAAAAAAACTTTTTTAACCTATCAGTATTTCCAAGGCATAGGACTAATTCTACTATTAAATTAGATTTATTTGTTTTGGGGTGAGGGAGAGTACAACTTAGCCCAAAATACGGTTGAATGTAGGCAATACAAATCACAATCCACTAGGGATCTTCTTGTATTTACATAGTTCTAAGGTGTATCTAACACATGCAGATTTTTCCTGTTTCTTACATGTGTGTAATGTGTAAGCAAAGCATAAACTTAATAACTTAAAGCAACCTAGTGACCTAAAAAATGTTACTGGAAACAAAATAGAAAAGTAAATGATGCAGGGGCAAAAACGGGTCCTGTCAGAGATTTCTGAGTTAGAAGGCTAAATAGAACATTCCAGAGAATCTTTAGGAACTGACTTCTAAAATTGCCATCCCCAGCTAGTGTACTTATGAGCAAGCTGACTACTGGGAGCCTCCACCTTCTTTCTTAAGGGGGTTCTGCTAAGCATAACCACCTGTGCATCGTCTCCTGGTCAAACCTTCATTCTTGAGATTATACTCCTTTTCACACATCGTATATCATCCTAGGCAGAATTTCATTCAAGATCGTTTTTCTCCCATCTTGATCAAGACAAATCCTTCCAGAAATGGAGGGGATCGGGCAGTGATGATAAAGACTGGCCTTCATTTCAAAGCAGAGAGTTGCTTTGCATGACTGATTTTATAGAAAGGGTAGATGAGTTCTAAAATCTTTTCCCAAAGCCTGTTTGCCTGAAATTCTTCTCCTCATTGAGTTCAAGGCCTTTGTCAGTATTTGCCAGAATAGAAGTAGGGCCTCTTTGTATTTAGCCAGACATGAAATGATGAAATGTTAATATGGAATTTAAATTCATGTTTTCTACGATGACAAAGAATATGTGGTGCAATAACACTCGATTACCAATTAAACCAGACAAAAATGTGAAGGAACACACAACAAATCTCTAGAATTATGGTAGATATTAATGACTTCCAATAGCATATAAGAGAAAATAAACATAACAAAAGAAGAGAGAATGCCTTTTGTTGATTTTTTTTCTCCTCTTTAGAGGTCTCTATGGAGCAAAAGGCTTTCTTCTTCTAAGGAAACCCTTCACAAATCTTAACATCTTCAGAAAAGCTTCCCTCAATTTGCTGTTTCCCATGATTAGGATTAATGAATGGCTTGATGGAAAAATGACAGTTACTATGCCACCAATCATCAACACTCATTTTTCCTGAGGAATCAGAGAGCTAGAGGTTATAACAAGAAAGACTGAATAGTACACAATGAGGAGGAGCAGAAAGATGATCACTGCCTTCATGGCCCTCATGTGGGCCGCTGTGCTGGGGTCTCTGAACCCTGTAGCATGCAGTTGAATCTGCTGGGTGTGTCTAACCAGGGAGAAAAGTAACAAGAAAAATGAGATCAGGCAAATAATAAAGGGAACCATCGCCCCGAGGTTCAGGGTTATCTGTTTAAAAGCATTTCGAATTTTACTCACTTTGAATTCCTGAGTAATGTTTACTTCATGACTGGCCTTGAAAAAGTCATACCATATATTCACTGAAATGCTCATAATTAAGGAGATAAGAAAGGACCCCAGAAGAATCCCAAGGATGACCTCGTTGATCTTTAGCTTCAGCCAGAAGAAAAATGGGTGGGATATATTGACTATCTTGAGTAAGTAGAAGATACTGAAGCAAGAAGTAAACCAGAGACTTGAATTATTTGCAAGTGTCCAGACAACATCCACAATGATTACTAGCTTGCTATTTTCGTATGCATCTTGAGAGAGCAGTATAAGGAAGCCATCTAAAGATATTACACACAGCAAACAGATTCTGGAGATGGCCAAGCTGATCAGGATGATGTCAATCAAGGAAACGTCTCTTCTCTTGAGCCAGTCAATGCAGTTAACTAGTACAATGAATCCATTTCCCAAAAGCCCTACGGTCAATTCACCAGCAATTAAAATGATATATATTGCCTCTATTGTACTTGGCATGGCAGCAGAGACTTCTGATTTTGAATATCACTGATGATGAATTGACTTTCAGCTGACCAGGGAAGAATAATATATCTCTCTGCCACTTATACCACGTTATAATTGTCTTTATCTCTCCTTTTTGTCAGCTGTGATGTAGATCCAGTAGATAGCTGGTCCCGTGCTGGGCTAGAACTGCCTAAAGACTTCAATGACTGGGGCCGGTCATTTCCTTTTGCACAGTAATGACTGAAAGGCTCTAGAATGCAAATGGGAATGGATCTGATTTCTTAAATTTGCACAGTTTTTCTCATTTTCAGCTCTGTGTATTTTGGATTTATCAATATGATCTATAGCCCAGGAACTTCAAGAAGGAATCAATTGCTTAGAAAAAGTGGCCGGAATTTAATTTGCTGGCGGACTGTCCATCCTAGTTTATATATTGATATTAACTATCAATAATGGTAATAGCTATTTCTATTACAGCTTCTGGGTTTAATGTGTTAGCCTGTGTAGCCAGTTTACTGGCTTCGTCGATTAAAGCTTTAAACAAATTGTCATTAACATTAAATGAGGTTTAAATGCTGTAACTGGTGGAATGTAGAGGAAAGAATCTAAAAGTATAGGAAGATAGGAGCATTAAGGTGAATTAGCACATGGGAACTTCACCTTCTCCCCATTATATGACTTAGGAGGGCCAAAGGGACACTCCATTCATTAAGGCATTGAGAAATACATTATTGAGGTACCAGTATCCTCAAAAAGCACTGCAGTGTTGGTCTTCTCAGCAGAAGGTACAATCAGGGTGACAAACATGAAATTGTAATGTTTTCAGTAAATGGGACACAGAAGATTCTGGTTTAGACGTTAGGATTTCTTGGAGTGTTCTTGCTTTGTGCCTGAATGTAGCTTCCACACATAGAAAAAAAGAGTCAAAATACTAGTCACTTATCTTTAAAGAGAAATGAAACAGATCAGTCTGAACTGTGGCGAGGACAAGGAAAGAACAAGAAAGTGCTATTTCTGAAACTGAAAAGCCCGATAGATACACCAGATTCTTCAGTCTGAACTGAATCATAGAATACATGCTCTCAATTTTCTTAGCCCTGTTGTTTGGCAGCAAGTGTATTATAAAGATTAGTATACATTGGAAACACACAGTTTGCTTTGTTGGAACATAGTGAAACATGTCATTGGACATAATGGAACATATTTGAAATAACAGAAACAGGCACACAGCAATACAGTTTCCAGACATTTTATTTTAAAACTGATATTAAATTGTAAGGCAATATTAAATATTGTTTACCAAATAAACTAACAATAATACAAAATATTTAATGAGATAATTTCTCATATGTTTAGGGTTTTAGACAAAATAAAGATATAAAAATTAATCTTGCAGATTTTTATGAGGAAGTAAATGATTATTGTTATTCCATTAAGTGAAATTTGGGGTTTCTTTCATGCTATCATACAGCTCAAAAGTACGCACTGTGCTTGTCATGACCAAAGCCATAAGAGAGGTAATAGGCTGAGAAGGACTTCACTAGAGTAAAGAAATTGATTTGCATCCAAACTGACAGACACGGTTGCACCATGTTTTCATCTCAGGGATGCAATATCTCATTATTTTAATTAATCTTTTTGAATGATAAGACTTTCAGGAGGGGAATTAAGGAGATTCAAAGTTTGGAAATGGAACTGCTTGGGATCAATTTGTAATGTCCATAAAAGATGAAGATGAAAAGATAGCATGTAGGTGGGTGATTAATAAGTGACATTTAAAAACTTCTTGGTAAACCCAGATATAGAATCCAACCTTGCCTTCTGAAACGTGGTCTTTCCCCTATATCCCTTCTTTTCTTTAGCTGTGTGGAATACTGATCAGTTTAGGGAAGTTATGTTTATATATTCAAATGTAAATGAAAATATGCCATAGCATATGACCAGAGTTACCTAAGGGCCTATACTTACCAAAATGTCACCCTCTTCCATCTTTCCTTGCTGTAAATAAAACTCAAATATCTCAATTTATTTGGCACCATTGAATATGTTGTGTGTGTGTGTGTGTGTGTGTGTGTGTGTGTGTGTGTGTCGGTGTTATTTGCCATTTGGATTTTATTTTAGCATTGAGAAGTTAAAGAGGGATCCTAGCTGACTGAGTTTAACATGTCTTTCCATCGCAGAAACATTTTAATCTAGAATGTGAGTTTATTGATTATTTCTGTCTCTAGTAGAAAACAGATGAAATACCGGGAAACTCATGACATCATTTCCTGCATGTCTTTCTACGAGAAGTGAGCAAACACAAATCTACTTAGGCAGATGTTTTTTAAGGTTCATTTTCTTTTCTTTGTTGAAATATTGCTTACCATTCTTTAGAGCCTTGC